GCTTTCTTCTTCTGCTCTTCTCATGCATTTATCTTTAGATCTGCTTTACAGTCATGTGGATTGATCGTGCTTGCTTTTTTGCTACCCCTCAAGATAGGGATTGCTAGCATGGTTCACTTTCTGTTTGATTTTGTTTTCTGTGGGAGCTCAATGAATAAATCTGCAAGAGGTACTTCAAGTTGAATGTAGCTGTTATTAGTCCAGTTTTTGCTCTTGCGAAGTTACTTGAGCTTTACTTTAGCTCTTCTATTACTGTAATTTGCTGCCGGATAAGCCAGATTAGAGAACAGCATGATTTCTGTTAGCTATCCTATATTCTGGTTCTTTTCATTCAAAAGATCCTAGCTTTAACTTTGTTAGCTACATTTTTCCTATGATAAATGAAATAAAATTTCCTAAATTGCTGGCTTCATTGAGTTCCGCTTGACACTTATGAAGCTTATGATTTCTGCCAACTCAGTATGTGTTTGTGTCAAAAATTTACTAAAATGCCGACCCCATTCAGTTCAGTTTGAAAACTTATGAGGCTCAGTAATTCAAATCATGGACTCTCCATTCTCTGATTCCATTATTAGAGCAAATAAATCTGGTGGTTTCAGGGTTAGCATAAACTGTGGTTATTCAGGTAAAACAAAAGACATCAGTTTGCAAAAGCTTTTACAGTTTTCATTAGATGGGCTAAGGACATGGTCTTAAATGTTAAATCCATTTTTAACAATTTTAAGATAATATGCCATTTCTTTCTCTGTGTTTATGGTTTAAAAAAGAAAAGAAAAGAAAAGAACGTGACCAATTTATGATTCTATAGTCCACCTTTGTCACATAAGAACAAAGAAAAAAATTTATGAATTGTGAGATGACCAACTTGACATCATGCTTGCTGTTTTCATGGCTTTATCCTGTACATAGTTGGAATCTTCATTCTCCTAGGACGTACAGTTTATTTTATTTTGTTATCCTGTAATACTGGGATTGGTGATTATGTCAAGACTAACTCTCTTTGCTATCTGCTTGGCTTGTTATAAGATCAGTCTGTATAGCCGGCTGAGGTTGTTCTTAGGTTTTACAAATTTAAGGTTTCCTACATTGTCTTAAATTGTTGCACTAGGCTTCATCACCAAGAAATCAGAAATTGCAAAGGGGTTACCATCTTATAATCATCTGTAATCTGGTGAGTGGAACTCTCCTATTTAACCCTCCCGATTAATCTCTTCCATGGATATGGAAGGATTTGATGAATGAATCATGTTTTGCAGGATACTGAAGGCCGGGGGGATTCCCTAGATATGAATGGTTAGATTCCCCAAATTCCTGACACGACTCAGTGTTCATTTTACTGATTATCCCTTTCTGAGAAACTATAAGGTAGCCTCTGAAGTACTTGAATCATGGATGAAACTAAAAGATTAATTATAGATATTATCAAAATCGCAAGAGCACATGTCAGCAGATTTTCTTTCCAGGACACTGTTGATATCTCTATGCTTAATAGTTTCCTTCGTGGTGTTTGCTTTAGTCTCTCAAATAAGGAGATCAAAGATGAGCTTACATTTCTTCTGCTAGCTTCTGCTGAGAAGGTTAGCAGCCAACAATTTGACAAGGCAAGTAGAATCCTTAAACCGTGTCATTTCTTGTCTCCAAATAATGCAAGTCCAGTTCAGAAAGTGTTTCACTATCTTAGAAAAGCTCTTCAAAAGAAGATTGATCGAGAAACTAGAGCTAATACATCAAATATAACAGAAAGCAAAAGAGCAGAGCTGTTACCATCGGATGAGAATACAATGTGTTTGAAACCTCCTTTAATTGAATGTTACAATAAACATCCTTTGGTTCAAGTCAGTGCGCTTGCAGGAATTCAAGCAAT